TTGACACTCAACCACTGAGCACACCAGCTGGGCCGTATGACATGTATTGGTTCCCAGAGTGGGACAGCTTCTCCTTACTGCCTATTCCTTATTGATCCCTCATATGTGCAGACCACCTACTACTAACGGCTTTCTAGACAGAAAAGAGGGCCCAGGTGTTCCATGAAGGATTCTATTGAAATTCAAGGTCCTGGCCCTACCAGAGGCCAGCTGCACTCAACGCTCCTCTCCCCTTGCAAGGGCTTGTTGCTGTTGTTGCTGTAAGTGACAGAAACCCAACTCATACCAGCTTACCAAAAGGGAATTTATTGACTTCCACTACTGAAAGGTACAAACACAGATGTGACTTCAGGCCAATGGGATCAGGGACTCCAATCTGTCTCTCTCAGCCTCTCCCCTTTGTTGGTTTTATTTTCAAGCCACCTCATTGTTGGCCACCAGCAGCTCCAAGTCTATATTCCACCAGTTTAGCACCCCCAGTGGGAAGAGTGTGTTATGGTTACGTATTGCTACATAATGAACCAACCCAAAACACAAACCATTTCATTGCTCATGAGTTTGTGGATCAAGAATTTGGGCAGGGCTCAGTAGGACTGCTTCGCGTGGTGCTGGATGGGTGCTTGGCTAGGATTGGAGATCCAAGATGTCCTTGCTCACATGTCTTAAGACCTCAGTCCTAGCTGATGGCTGGGGCATCCTGGTTCTCCAAGTGGCTTTTCTCTTCACATGGCCTCTCACCATTCAGTAGTCTAACCCACACTGCTCTACATGGTAGATAGCTTCTAAGAGAACAAAGTGGAAGCTGCCAGTTTTCTTAAGGCCGGGGCCCCAAATAGGCAGTGTCACTTCTTTTGCATTTTCTTGATCAAAGCAAGTCACAGGGCCGGCCCGGATTGAATTGGAGGGGAAATAGATTCCGCCTCTTAATGGGAGGAGTGGTAAAGCCACATTGCAAAAGGGCATTTGTATGGGAGGGATTATTGCAGCCATCTCTGAAAATAATCTACCAGAGCCTTACCTGGTTTGGCTCAGTGCATAGAGCGTAGGCCTGCGGACTGAAGGGTCCCGGGTTTGATTCCAGTCAAGGGCACTTGCCCAGGTTGCAGGCTCGATCCCCAGCAGGGGGCGTGCAGGAGGCAGCCGATCAATGATTCTCTCGCATCATTGATGTTTCTCTCTCTCTCCCTCTCCCTTCCTTTCTGAAATCAATTATATATATGGAAATAACCCACCAGAGAGAAGAGTTTCTTTTCCAATAATCTGAGTAAGGCGTGGTGGATTATGCTTTGGCCCTGGTTGTGTCACATGCTTATTCCTGAATTAATCTCAGTACCTAGGGAAGAAAGAATGTGCTGACTGGCTGCTTCTGGGCTATGCATTCCCCCAGGATGGTTCATGTGGACCTAGAATGATGGAGGGGGTGACCCCCCCAAAAAAAACAAACAAAACAAAACAAAACACACCAGGTGCTGGTACCGGAAGAGGGGAAATTGGGAATAAAACTGGTTAAAACAATTGCTATCCACTCCCCAACCCCTGCTCAGAAACCTTCAGTGCCTGTTCTGCCCTGTCAGGTTGCCTACAGTGTGGACTCTACTTGTTCCTCCAGCCTCATTCATACCCTTCTGACTTTTATCTGAGCTTCCCTTTCACAGTTCTCCAGATAGGCCTACTTTCTTCTTCAATGTACCTGCCCTTGGGTGGTCTCCCCAAACGGTCATGCCTTGCCCATCAGCATGTCCAAACTCTACCTGATTTTCAAGGAAAACTCTAAGAGAGTGACATAAGGAAGACTGAGAAAGGGTGAAGGCCACCTGATGCGGAGGTAAAGAGATGAGAAAGACCTGAGGACTCCTCCATTCTTCCAGAAAAATCTTCAAGCACCATCAAAATCAATCACAGTGACCCTTCTAGGGTTACTCTGTGTCATATTTCAAATTGGAGACACAAAGGTGTTCATGGCAGCATTAACTGTAATAGCAAAAACGAGAAGTTACCCACCTGTCCTGCAGTAGGAAGTGCATTGCAGTGATGAAGATTCTTTCAGCGGTAAGTGACAGAGCCAGCTCAAACTAGTTTAAGCACAAAAGTGAATTCAGTGGCTTAGGAACCTGGACAGCCAAGGGACTCAAATGAAGTCGGGCTCCCACCCTCTCTTGGCTCAGCTTCCTTTGGGTATGGGGCGCATTTTCTCCCACTATTGATGGGTTTCCTCTATTGTGAGGGAAGAGGGGCCCAGGCACAGATTGCTGCAGACTTACATTATTCCTGCTTTGTGACCTTGGAGGAAAGAGAAAGCTGCTCTTTCCCAGAGGCTCGGGGCAGGAGGCTGTGCTGGCGTGGGTGACTTGCTCATTCCGGGGCCAGTGTCTGTGGCCGGAGCAATGGGATTCTGTGATTGACCAAACCTGGCCAGGTGGCCAGGAGGCGGCTGTTGTGGTTGGCTGTCCTACTAGAACCATATGGAGTTGGGTCGGGGATGGGGAGTCTCCTAGAAGACGTTTGCTGCTGTTACTAGGATGGCAAAATCTAGCTGAGGCAGGGTTACATTCCAGGAAAAGGTAGCAACATTGGAGCTGGATCTAATCTGCTCCCAATTGGCTTGCTCCCATTCTAGAGCATCACCGGGCCTTGTTGAGACCATGATGGCTTCTCCTACAGTTCTAATGAGAGGGACGCTGGCCACACCATCTCCTGCTTCAAACCTCAACAGTCTGCAGGCTGGCTGAGGCCAGGCTAGTCCCAGAGCAGAAATGACCTTGATCACCACTCGCCCACTGAGCATCAGCCTTCTTTACCCTTAGGTCTTCGAGGGGCTGGCCCAATGCGGTGGTGGCAGCAGCAATGACTGAGCTCCAGTGCCATCTACGGAGCTCAGTTTTGTTTTGGAATTGGATGGGGCATAACTAAATAGATGGTGATTTGCATAGACGTGAGAAGTCATGGTTTTTATCTTTGTGGTTGCTTTGAGCAGTGGGCCCAATGGGAACTTTTTGCCAGGCGTGTTAGAATGTTCTCAGTGTAGCTCCAAGGAGCTTCTGTTCCTCAAAACATGCTGCCCTGACAGGTAAAAAGCCTCCAGGTGGGTCTGTCTGGGGAAAGAAGAAAATGAAATGAGCTCAGACCTGCCAGGGAGGGCAGGTAAAGGTCCAGGGCAGCCCAACCCATCCAATTCCTCTTCTGCGCACATTTCCACTCAAACTTGGGGTGGTTCACGCGGTGGTGTCTTGTTTAGTGTGTGTGTATGTGTGTGAAGGTCTGGCAAGTGCCACTCATGTTCGTAGCTGACAATCACCACTTTTGGTTAGTTATCTTTTTTGTGTGTGTGTTTTGTTTATTTTTTTGTTTTTTAAAATATATTTTTATTGATTTCAGAGAGGAGGGGGAAGGAGAGATAGAAACATCAATGATGAGAGAGAATCATTGACTGGCTGCCTCCTGCACTCCCCTCACTGGGGATAGAGCCTGAAACCTGGGTATGTGCCCTGAACAGGAATCGAACCGTGACCTCCTGGTTCATAGGTCAACGCTCCATCACTGAGCCACGCCAGTTGGGCCAGGTATCTTTTTCAATGATATTTCTGTAAGTAGCAAAACTAATAAAGATATTTCCATTTCAGTAAAAACAATACAAAACAGGATTTGTTTGGCTACACATGTGTATCTAGCTTTCTTGATAGGGTCTCTGAGGCACTTTTGGAGAGAGATTTACTTTCCCAGGAAACACAAAAGGATCTAGACATAAAGGCTCGGAGGTTAGGTGCCTGGTCCTGGTGTGTGTGTGTGTGAGATGGAAAACTGGTGGAATCAATGGAATTATGGAAATGATCTGTACGGAAGGGGAGTCAGGGAAGGAGTAGACTGTGGGGTTCAATTTGGTTCAATTCATCCAATATTAAGCACTATTATAACCTGACCCTGTTCCAGAACTTTGGGGTGTATTAGTGAATAAAACAGATAAAGATTAGGAAGCTCAATTTCTAATGTAAAAGGCAATTAACTATATATGTGACAGTTTAATAATGAACTACTAGTATATGTTATGTTACAATGAATGATAGCTATGCGGGGGAAGAGAGGTCCAAAATGGGGTGTGAGGTCGTGGGCTGCAACCGTAAAGAATGGGCAGCAGGCCTCATTGAGAAAGTGAGCTTTGAGCAATGACCTAAAAGAGGTGAGGGGCTGACTCGTCCATGTGGATGTCTCGGGAAGGAGGGTTCCATGCAGAAGGCACAGCCCGTGCAAAGCCCCCGAGGCAGCAGTGTGCTGGAGAGGAGAGTTTAGGTCGGAGGGAAAATAGTCCAGGGACTTGTTGGTCATTGGAAGGACTTCGGCTTTTACTCTGAGAAAAAGGGGTTAAAACATGTGTTTTTCCCAGCTTTCTGGCTTTCTTTCCCTGTGTCTTGTTTAGTGTGTGTGTATGTGTGTGAAGGTCTGGCAAAGGCAGGCACCTGGGTATGGGCAAAGGCACGGGCAGTTCATAACTGCCCTTCCCATCTCCCTCCCATTACCCTACTTCTCAGCCCGGGGTGCGGCTCATTCCACGCCCTCAGCTGTTTTTATGACACACCCCCAGCCGTGGAACTCAGCTGCTCAATCATAGAGCAAATTAGAGGTGAGAGAGACCCTACTCTTCCCACCCCTCCCCCCACTCCCGCCCCCAGGGGTACTGACTGCCAGCCAATCAAAGCCTCCCAGTGGGACAGAGAAAGTCAGAGGCTGGGACCAGAGAGACAGTGATGGAGAATAGTGAGCAGGCAGGGGGCCCAGCAAAGTCATATCCTCCCGAAAGAGACAGATCTCAGATCTTCCTCCCCACCTCCACCCTCGCCCCCTATCCCTTCTCCACACTCACACACACACACACACACACACACACACACACACTCACACACTCACACACTCACGCCTGACACAATGGCCGGGTGGGGCTGAGGAACTGGCTTCCTCTGCTGAGATCTCAATCTGGGCCCTCAGTTCCCGCCCCAGAAACACAGGAACAGACACTCCGAGACCTGGCCCCGCACTCCTTGCTCCAAGGGGCAGGCAGGACAGGCTGAAAATAGAAACCACTTCCAAAAAGATAAAGGTAAATTCAGGGGGAGCTATTGCAGAGTTGGGGAGGGGGAGACGGGGGAGGGGCCCCTTGGTGTGACACAGTGGGCTGGCTTACACCCGGGGAACAGGCTGGAAGCGATGGTGACAGGCAGCCGGGCGGCGAGGTGTGGGAGAGGTGGTCAGACAGGCCGCGGGGAGCACACGCACCATCCCTCAGCTGAGCCAGAGGTGTCAGCCCGGCCCCGTGCCATTTCCACCCCATCCTCACCCCACCCCACCCCTGTTCACCTCCAGCCCGGGAGCCCCCATCTGCACAGCAATGCCGACAGGACGTGCACATACAGAACAGCCGGCTGTCCACACCCTGGTTTCAGCCTTTCCCCAGGCCCCGTGAACCTCAGGACCCCAGGACACGGGTCCATCACATCTTCCAGAGCCCCGGTGTGCGCATGTGGAGTGCGGTGTGGTTTGGGGGGGTGTCCGGTGGGAGGAGGATTTGATTCCTGTTTCCTGCTCCTACTCACTCAGCCCTAGGAGGTGACTGAGAGTGGAGAGGACTCGAGGGTGAGTGCTCGGGCCCAATACCTGGGTCCCTGTGAGAGGCTGTGTGGGGGGTGGGAGAGGAAGTAAACGGCAAACAGAGGTACCTGAGAAGGGGCGGGACCCCCGAGCGGGCAAAGCTGGGGAGGAGCGGGCCGGCCCGGGAGGCCACTGCCTGGGTCATGTTGATAAGGGGCTTCCTGCCAGGATACAGAGGCCATTGAGCGGTGAGGCTCACAGTCTACGGCACCCTGCCTCGTTCCTCAAGAACCCAATCTGGAGCCTGGGGCGGGGGTGGGGGGTCTGACTCTCCTGCCGACTCCTGAGGGGAGCTGGGGCTCACCCCCGTCTCCCAGCCCTGATCCTGCGGTCCTCTCAGGATTACGGCCTCCTTCCCGGAGGGAGGAAGTGGAGCCCAGGTCCCCATGCTCTGGCCTTCAGTCTGGCCTCCTCACCACCCTCAGGCATCCCGGCAGGACCCGGGCTCCCACTGGGGCCTCTTTCTCTGTGACCCGATGGCGGGATGGGGCGGGCAGGGGTAAGAGGACCGGGCAGGAGAGACCATGTCCGGGGCCTCCTGGTCTCTTGGGGTCAGAGGCTCCAGGAATCTTTACGGCAGGAAAAGGAGACTAAAAATAATCCGGAAAGGGAGAGTCCGGAGAGAGGAACTGGGAAATGGGGGGCGGAGGGCCAGCGGGAGCAGGGAAACAGTGATGCAGCCCCACCGCCAGCAGACACTCACACACGGGAACGTCCCCACACAGACAGCACGGAGCACAGCCACCCTCGCACCCTCTCCCACCACACTCCGTTCCCCGCATTCCACTCTCCCCCTGCATGCCACCCCTTCATACAGCACTGGAAACAGCACACACACGTAAACTACACTCACAAACCTTCGCACGCACACTCTATGGACACACACACAACTCATCAAGCAGAGGCGGTGTGGCTAGACGGGCAAGCTCGATTCCCCTTCCCGACCCCCTTCTCTTGTGCCCCCTCCCCTGCCTTGGGTCTCTGCTGGGGCACCCCCACCCCAGCCTCGCTGTCTCCTCCATCCAGACTGTGGCTGCAGAAGCTACAGGCCAGAGAGGAAGGGAGGCTGGGAGGGCCAAGGAAGGCTGCCTGCAAGGGGCCTCGGGAATGCGAGGGGCGCGAGGTGAAGAGAGAAGACGGGAATGAGCGGGAAGGAGAGGAAGCGCAGCAGCCTTCCCTCCTGACGCCAAAATCATGGCTGATTTGCTGGCAAACAAGCTCTGCTTAGAGCAGTGGTTCTCAACCTTCTGGCCCTTTAAATACAGTTCCTCATGTTGTGACCCAGCCATAAAATTATTTTCGTTGCTACTTCATAACACAAGTAATGTTGTTACTGTTATGAATCGTCATGTAAATATCTGATATGCAGGACGGTCTTAGGCGACCCCTGTGAAAGGGTCGTTCGACCGCCAAAGGGGTCGTGACCCACAGTTTGAGAACCGCTGCCTTGAGGCATCGTCTACCCAGGGCAGGCCAGGGGGTGCCACTGAGGGTCTCTCTCTCTCTTCTCCCTCCCTCTTCCTCAGGGGATGACTCCAGCAGAGCCCCACACTCCTTTGAAAAGCTCAAAGGAAGATGTCAGACCAGTCTCTTCCTACAGCAACACCCCCTACGCAGAAGCCCCCTCGGATCATCCGCCCTCGCCCCCCCTCTCGACCTCGGGCTGCCCAGTCCCCTGGGCCCCCCCACAACGGCTCTTCTCCTCAAGAACCTTCTGGCACCTCCAATGATGCACCCAACCCAATGTGCTCCCCCATCTTCTGGGAACCCCCCGCCTCTTCCCTCAAGCCCCCTGCCCTGCTGCCCCCTTCCGCTTCTAAAACCAGCCTCGACTCCCAGGCCTCCCCAGACTCCCCTTCCAGCACCCCCAGTCCAGTGTCCCGGCGCTCCATCTCCCCAGAACCCGCACCCAGGTCTCCAGTCCCCCCACCCAAACCCTCCGGGTCACCCCGCACGCCTCTGCCCCTGCCGCACCCAGCCCCCCGGGGCCAAGCCCAGGATGGCCCTGCCTCTGCCCCAGGCACTGTGCGGAGACTGGCTGGCAAATTCGAATGGGGGACTGAGGGCCGGGTCCAGGCTGCACCAGAGCCGGCTCCCCAGGGGGGCGTGGATGTGAATGGGGAGAGAGAGACTCCCCGGGGCAGCCTCAGGAGAAGGGGATCCCAGGAGAATGGCGCACCGGGTAAGCATCTCATGGGGCGAGGGGGGCTCAATCCAGCTCATCTTTTATTGTTTTCAGTGGTTTAAGGCTGGGTCCTTTCAGGGGCTACCTTTTAAACACTGGATTTTACGTTTGGAAGATCTGATTTCCGTATTTCTGGGAGTTTGAAGAGAGTCCGTGTTGAAGAGTAGATGCCTGGGGCTGGGCCATGTTCAGCTGCCGGGCAGGTTAAGGGGAAGGACCCGGGGCAGTGTGGGGCCAAGGATCTTTTCCTTAGGACACCTCGTCTCCCACAGATGCGGCCCAGGCCTGCCCACCCTGCTGCCCCTGTGTCTGCCATGTAGCCCGGCCTGGCCTGGAGCTCCGGTGGGTCCCCGTGGGGGGCTGTGAGGATGGTCCCAAGGCCCTCTGCCGAGCCTCCCCACTGCGGGCCTCCCGCTCCCGCCCCAACCCTCCCAGCATCAGTCACCCCTCAGTGGTCCTCACGTCTTACCGCTCCACTGCTGAGCGCAAACTCCTGCCACCTCTCAAACCCCCAAAACCAACTCGGGTCAGGCAGGACCCCACCATCTCTGGGGACCCCCCACAGCCAGATCTCCGTCTGCCCTCTGAAGATGGAAGCCAAACAGGTACAGGGCTTGGGAGAGCGGGTCCTTTGGCTGGGAGGGGAAGGGGTGGAGAGGTAGTTTGTTCTACAAATGAACAAACTACAACCCCCAATAGGGCCTGAGCTTGTTTTGTTTCTCCGCCAGCTGCAGCTCCAGGGCTGATGGGAGTTGTAGTTTTTATGGTAACAGTCTCTGCTGGGGCAGGAGTCAGGAGTCGGGTGGGGGTTCTGGGGATTTATTCTCTTCACTCTGGGCTCTCTCTCTAGGGAACAGTCCAGATGAAGCCCCTCAGAATGACGCTCCAGCAACCATGGAGGGCAGGTACCAACAACCCTCCCCGCCTTACTCCTACCTGAAGGCCGACTCTGCAGGTCCTGCTAAGTCCCACCTCCACAAAGGTGGAGTGAAGGCGGCCTGGGGCTCTAGAGACAAGCAATCCCAGCGCTGTCCCCTGTCAGCTATGTGACCTTCTGTAAGTCACTTAACCTTTCCCGGTCTCAGACTCCTCATCTGTGAAATGGGGGTAAGCATACCAACGACTTCATAGACTATAACATTGGTGAAGAACCGGTCCCTAGTAAGTGCTCCATTTTAGTTCCCCACCTTAAGCCTCTATTGTCATTATCTCTTCAGTGTCCTCTGGGCTTGTTAATGATCTTAGATTCCCCATCACTATCAGAGTTCATCTGAGCCCATTCATTCATTCATTCAACAAGCATTTACTGGTGTTTGTTCTCCTGGGGTTTTAGCTTGGGGGAATGGGTATGTGGTAACCAGAACAGGAGGGACGGAGCTGCGGGCGGGCGAAGGGGAGGTGTGAGTTTGGGTTTATCATGCTGAGTCTCACGGAGCCACAGAGAGGACATTTCAGATGGTGGTTGCTACGTGAGAGGGCTGGAAAGGTAAAGCCTTGGAAGTCTCTGGTACACAGCACCGAGATAACGGGAGGAGATGGAGCCCGCTGAGTCAGGGCCTCCCATACAGCAGGCACATAACAATATCTGGGGTTTGGTCTGGGGAGCCGCTAGGGTCCCCGCACACAACCTTACACTATCATGTGAATAGCGCCCCTGGAGGTGTGCAGCAGGGTTGGCTCTGGGGGACTCCATCCCTTCTTCTCTCCACAGGGATGAGGGCCTGAAGGAGCTGAAGGAGCAGAACTGGGAGGTGCCCCTGCAGGATGGTGAGGCCTCTGGGCCTGGGGGTCCCTGCTGTGACCCGCAGGCCGGGAGAAGGGCTCCGGGGCACTGGGCTTCCCTGATGCGCTGTCTGCTCTCCAGAACCCCTGTACCAGACCTACCGCGCAGCCGTGCTGTCAGAGGAGCTGTGGGGGGTCAGTGCGGAGGGGAGTCCCTCTCCGACAAACCCTGGAGACGCTCCCGCCTTCGCCCGGCTCCCTGGCCCTCGAAACACGCTGTGGCAGGAGCTCCCGGCGGTGCGAGCCAGTGGCCTCCTGGACACGCTCAGCCCCCAGGAGAGGCGCATGCAGGAGGTGGCGTACCGGGGGGCCGGCCCCGGGCAGGAGGGTGGCTGGGCCCCGGGCAGGCTGGGAACTGAGTTTCCCGCGTCCCCCCTGCCCTTCCTCGCAGAGCTTGTTCGAGGTGGTGACCTCCGAGGCCTCCTACCTGCGCTCCCTGCAGCTGCTGACCGACACCTTCGTGCTGAGCCAGGCGCTCCGGGACACGCTCACGCCCCGCGACCACCACACTCTCTTCTCCAACGTGCAGAGGGTCCAGGAAGTCAGCGAGTGGTCAGTGGGGTGCTGCCCTCTCGGCCAACGGAGCGCCCCTTAACTTCCAGCCTGTCCCAGGGCCCCTGGCTCTCCGCCCCCCTCGCTGACGGCTCCCCACCCCTGCAGGTTTCTCGAGGCCTTGCTGTCCCGCGTACGCTCTTCCCCCCACATCAACGACCTTTGCGACGTGGTGCACGCCCACGCCGTGGGCCCTTTCTCCGTGTACGTGGATTACGTGCGCAACCAGCAGTACCAGGAGGAGACCTACAGCCGCCTTATGTGAGCTCCAGGGCAGGGGCCGGGTCACACCTGTGGGGGAGCCCGGGGTGCAGGGGGGGGTCCAGGCCCGGGCAGGCGGGGGGGACCGGGCCTCCAGGCCCACTCCAGCGGCCTGCGCTGCTTCTGCAGGGACACGAACGTGCGCTTCTCCGCGGAGCTGCGCCGGCTGCAGAGCCTCCCCAAGTGTGAGCGGCTCCCGCTGCCGTCCTTCCTGCTGCTGCCCTTTCAGCGCATCACGCGGCTCCGCATGCTGCTGCAGGTACCGTGGGGCCGGGCCTTTCCCGCCATCTCCCACCCCGCCATGAGCACGGGGCTTCCCTAAATCAGACCCAATCGGGGCCTCAGTCCAGGACCCGCCGGACTCTGCCTGGAGCTACTCACAGGTCTCAGGGAGCAGGCTGGGCGCAGGAAATGAACCTCTGGCTAGAGGCAGGAGTTCTCGGCTTGGCTCTGCCAGGAACTGGCTGACTGACCTTGGGCAAGTCCCTTTCTCTCTCTGGGTCTCAGAGGGAATGTGGTGGCCACCTCAGCTGTACCTCTCACTGCATACCTCCCCAGTGGGGTGATATCACGCTCAAGGAGGCAAAAGTCATTCTTTGGGAGGTAAAAAAAATCCTAAATATTCCAATGGTTGTGGTACTTCAAAGGGCCCTGGTACATAAACGATGAACAGCATATCTGTGGTATTACATTTCTAAAAAGGCTCCTGAGCAGGGTGATACTGAATTAAAAAATAAAAGGTTGAGCCCTAGCTGGTTTGGTTCAGTGGATAGAGCATCGGCGTGTGGACTGAAGGGTCCCAGATTTGATTCCGGTCAAGGGCACATGCCCGGGCTGTGGGCTCCATCCCCAGTAGGGGGTGTACAGGAGGCGGCCAATCAATGATTCTCTCTCATCATTGATGTTTCTATCTCTCCCTCCCTCTCCCTTCCTCTGAGAGGTTAAATAACTTGTCCAGGTCATCCAGATAATCACTGATGGAGACAAAGTTTAATTCCAGGCACTCTAACCACTGTGCTTCATTGTTTTTACTAATAGTGTGGTTAGTAATTATTAAAATAACAGCACCCTTCTTTTCAGCACTCACTATGTGCCAAGGACTATGTTAAGTGCTTTGTATATATTACGTTGCTGAATCCTCCATTGGTAGGCTAGGTGGGTATTGCCCCCAATTTACAGATGCAGAAACTGAGGCTCAGAGAGGTAACCTGACTTGCTCAGGGTTAGGCCGACAGTGAGTGGTGAGGTCTCTCAGCCTTGTTGAGGCTGGTTCCTCAGCCCTGTGAACCCCAAACTGAGCATGTTGCCAAGCCAGGCAAGGGGCCTCTGAGCTGCAGCCCCTCTGAACCCCAGGGCCGCAGAGCAGGGGCCCAGTCACCCTTCCTCCTTGTCCTCAGAACATCCTCCACCAGACAGAGGAGGGGTCCAGCCGCCAGGAGAATGCCCAGAAGGCCCTGGGTGCTATCAGCAAGGTGGGCCGCGGGGGATGCTGAGGCCCGGGGAGGCGAGGAGGGGGTCAGGGAGAGGGAAGGGAGGAAGGGAGTAGGGGTGAGTGACCGAGCTCCCCTCACCCAGATCATTGAGCGTTGCAGTGCTGAGGTGGGGCGCATGAAGCAGACGGAGGAGCTGATCCGGCTCACCCAGAGGCTGCGCTTCCACAAAGTCAAGGTCAGCCTCTGTCTAGACTCCCCACCGTCCCTTTCCCCATTTTGTGCGATGAAGAAGCCAGAACCTCCTCCCTGCTCCCTCCCAGGCCCTGCCCCTGGTCTCCTGGTCGAGGCGCCTGGAGTTGCAGGGGGAGCTGACGGAGTTAGGGTGCCGGAGAGGGGGCATGCTCTTCACCTCGCGCCCCCGCTTCACTCCCCTCTGCCTGCTGCTCTTTAGTGACCTGCTGCTCATCACGCAGCCTAAGAGGTGGGTCCCAGGGAGGGTGGGAGGCCAGGCAGGGGTGGGGAGCAGGAGTCTGCTCTCCTTCTGAACTTCCTCTCCCCTGGGCAGTGGGCAGCGGCTACAGGTGCTGGACTATGCCCATCGCTCCCTGGTCCAGGCCCAGCAGGTTCCGGACCCATCTGGACCCCCGACGTTCCGCCTCTCCCTTCTCAGCAACCACCAGGGCCGCCCCACCCAACGGCTACTCCAAGCTTCCTCCCTGTGAGTTGTGTCTCCTAAAGGGGCCTTGACCTGACCTCTCAGAGCCTACCACCTCCTCCCCAATCTCTCTCCTCTGTGGCCCCTGCCTAACCCCCGGTAGGATCTCCTGAGCCAATTGGGACCCTCCCTTGTCCCACCAGATCAGACATGCAGCGCTGGCTGGGAGCCTTCCCCACCCCTGGCCCCCTTCCCTGCTCCCCAGACACCATCTATGAGGACTGTGGTGAGTAACCCCTAGAGGGAGAAGGAAGGAAAAGTGAATCTTAAGGGGAATATGGGGGAGAAGCTAAATATAGTCTTGATCCTGCTGTAATGTCACCCAACCCCAACCAGAATGTTCCCAGGATCTGTGTTCAGAGCCTTCGACACCAGCCAAGACTGAGGGACAGAGTCTGGAGTCCAGGGCTCCCCCCAAGCACCTACACAAGAGCCCTGAAGGTGAGCGAGTCTTTTATTTCTTCATTCAGTAAATAATTAAGCACCTGGGAGGGGCCGCTCTCTGTTCTAGGTGCTGTGAATCAAACACACAGATATCCCTGTGCTGCACAGCATGCGTTCTAGTGGAGGAGAAACAATAAAGAACAAATAAGATAAAAAATAAATTGCATATAGTGCGTCCGAAGGTGATGAGTCTATGGCAAAAACCCAAGTGCAGCAGTCAAGGAGGGCAGGCGTCCCAGGGCTGGGTGGGTTACAGGTTTAAAGAGGGAGGCTGAGGTGGACCTCCACGAGGAGGCACTGTGTCGGTGATGACTTGATGGAGCTGAGGAATTTAGGCACGTGGCGTCCAGAGGAAGAAGGTTCCAGTCAGAGACTAGAGTCAGCGGAAGGCACTGTGGTTGGTGTGTTTAGGAGACAGTAAGGAGGCATGTGTGGCTAGAGGGAGCGAGGAGAAGGGAGAGAAGCAGATGAGGTCATAGAGATAACAGGGACCATATCATATGGGTCCTCAGAGATCCCTGCAAGGATTCGGGCTTCCACTCTGGGATGAGCAGCCACTGCAGGGCTTGACAAAGGAGTGCCCCTGACCCTCTTTGGTGATATTGTCACCTCCAGTGGCTTTTCTACCAATGCTCCCGTTCTCACCATGACCCTCAGACACTAGACCCCATGGTGCCTCCTTTCCCTCCTGACCTGCCCCTTTCCCTGGCTCCCCTGGGGCCCCTTCTCTCTTTCTCCAGGCTGGCTGAAGGGCCTTCCTGGGGCCTTCCCTGCCCAACTGGTGTGTGAAGTCACAGGGGAACATGAAAGGAGGAGGCACCTTCGCCAGCACCAGAGGCTCCTGGAGGCTGCTGGACCCTCTTCAGGAAACCCCAGTGCCCCCCAATCCTAATGCATGCTGGGGAGGGGGCGCAGGCAGGGACAGCTGGCAGCGTGGCGCAGAGAGGACAAAGCTCATCTATCTATTGGATTCGCTGTCAGTGGAAATACTACCTCTAGTGCCAACCAATAGGGACCAAGCTTCAGGACGAGGCAGCCAATGAGAACAGGATGGTCAGAGCCCAGGCAGTGAGGGAGAACGAGGCTGGTGTGAGTGTGTGGCCAATGGAGACAGAGGCTTAGTGCAGAGGGGCTGATCTGGACCCAAGAGATCAGTAGCGACTCTCTTTGGTTCTAGAGCAACAGCCAGTCCTGCCCTTTGAATCGAAGAAGTATTAGATTTCATTCTCAGGGTGTTTCCTATGTCCTCTCAAGCCAGGTTTTCTCTTCTAGAAGAATCCAGTGTGTGTTTCTCAGAGTGTGTGTGTGTGTGTGTGTGTATCTGTGAGTGTGTGTGTGTGTGTATCTGTGAGTGTGTGTGTGTGTGTATCTGTGAGTGTGTGTGTGTATCTGTGAGTGTGTGTGTGTGTGTGTGTGTGTGTATCTGTGAGTGAGGTAGGTGTATGATCTTGCCTTCTCCCAGATGAGTGACTGCCCCAGTTCTTCCCTCAGCCCCATTTTAACTATTATTCTCTCTGAGAAAGACCCCAGGCCTGAGTGCCAGAGGAGAATGAGCTGGTGTGGCTTGGCAGCCAGAGGCCAGAGCTGGGTTGAGAGCCCTGGGATCTGGGACTCTTGGAGGGCAGAGTCCCATGACAATTGGAGGGTGATGTTATGGAGCAGACAAGCAGCCTGGCAGAGGAGCCCAAGGGACTTCTGAAGACGGCCAGTAGCTGGGGCCCGAGGGCCCCTGAAGCCCACAAGCCCTTCTCCTTGCCCCAAAGCTTGGTGTCTGTAATCTTTGCTGGGAAAGCACCCAACTGAACTATAATCAGCGTCTAGCCTTGGCCTTGGACCCCAAGAAGCGGAAGAAATGGAAGCTGTGGATCATGGGCCAGCTGGTGAGCCGCTGGGCCTTCCTGCCTTCATCCTGGTCCTCTCACAGAGACGTGGGGCCAAGCCGTGGGCAGAGAATGGAGAGGGTCTGCTTCTGGATGAGAAGTGGCCCCCATGCGATGCCACAAGGAGCTGAGGGACGGACAGATGGAGCAGACAGTTGCCGGCGAGTGGGGCCCAGGTCTAGCACAAGGCCTTCTCTGAGCTAGGCCATCACCCCTTCCCTTCACTCGTGCACAGAAACTTGCCCAGGACAGAAACTGCCACGCTGACCACAGGAGGCGCGGGGACTCTCAGAGACTCAGAGGGAGACAGGCACGGGCATTGGCATGTCTGTGACTTTGGAGATTCACCGAGCGCTGTGCCTGGCATATGAGAAACCTGCAATAAATGTTGGTGGAGCTGTATTGAGGCTCTTTGGGGGACTGTGTGCTTAAAGGAGCAGTGGTTTCCCGCTGTGGCTTTATAAGGGGGGTGGGGCTGGCTGGAAAGGGATTCTTCCAGAGCAGAGGTCAGTTCTGCTGGGAACTGGGCTTGGAGACTAGGCTCAAGGCTCCAGCATGTCAGCCCACTCCTCCCTGCCCAGGGATCCAAGGCTGCGGTGGTGGTGGATTTGCAGATGCTGGGGTGGAAGGCTCCTGCAGGTGGGGGGAGAAGATAGGGCAGCGCCAGGGCTCCAGCAGGGGATGAAGATGCAGGGAGCAGGACAAAGAGGACAGTCAGCAATAAAGGTCTTTCCTGAACAGCCAAGCATCGCTGTGTTTAATGCAATCAATTCTACGCCTGTTTCCTGAATGCCTTCTATGTGCCAGGCATTGTTCCAAGACCTGGGGATACGGAGATGAAAACACAAGGGCCTTGTCCTCAAGGAGGACATTCTGGGTTTGGGGCCAGGTGGAAAGAACAATTTCCAATTGTGAACAATTTAATAAGCAAGATAAAACCAGGCAGCAGCTATGGGGACAATACAGCAAGGGCTGTGATGTAGAATACTCCGTGTGTGTGTGTGTGTGTGGGGGGGGAGCTTTGGAGAAGATCCTGGAGGTAACATTTGAGCCGAGACCCAAATGACAAGAAGGGAGCAGCCCTGTGAAGATCTGTGCAAAGAGCATCAAAGGGACTGAAGTCCAGGAAATGAAGGTAGTGGTCGTGGGGAGGTGCACCTGCTCCTTCAAGTTTCCTGGTTGGGGAGCCTCTCTCCACCAAACTTCTTCTCTCTCGGAGATACTCAGAGAGACAGACAGACAGACATCGGAGGCTCACACAAAGCCACACATATGACAGATCTATGGTACTTCCTAGCTCCTCAACCCCTCCCTGAGCCCTGCCACTGAGGAAGCCCCCAGGCCCCACTTCAGGTGTCCTAGTAATGGGGTAATTAGAAGACAAAGACCAGGTAAGAGTTGTTTGGGGGATGTAAAGGCACATAAAATACAACCACATGTTCCAGAAGAGACGGGAAAGACAGGAAGGAGAGGGGACGGTCTGTTTCTGTTATCTTAGAGCCCCTTTCCATTTTGGGGTGACAAGTGAGTGAGTGCAGTCCGGGAGGGGTGTGCATTCGGCAGGCCTGTCGGAGAGGGCGAGGGGCATGAAGGACAGCTATGTGGGGAGGGGTGGATGTGGGGCAGTGAGACCACCATGAATGTGGAGAAAGTGGATGGGCGAAGGGCTGGGGCTGGGGTAAGGAAGACAGAGGGGGAATGATGGGGTGGTACAGGGGGTACCGGGGGCTGTAGGTAACTTGGCGAGTCATGAATCCTCTCCCTCCACCCCCTGCACACCTCCACCAGGTATGTACCTCTCTGTCATACACCTGTGCTACTCCTGCTGGCCCGGCACCCTCTCCATCCTGTGGTGCTCCTCCCCCTTCCTGCCCCTCTGCGTCACCTCCTGCAGCTTCCTTGCAGGTGTGGAGGAGGGTTCACGGGAGACGTCTCCCAGTGCTGCCCCGTCTGGTGTTCCAGGCATGGTGGTGGGGGTGGCAGGGGTCAGTACCAACGTTCCAGGTGTAGAGAGGTTCACTGACCCATTTGGGGGTCTGAGCTGCATCACTCCGTGCTTCACACTCTATCATGCTGGGGAGGTGGAAGAAACTCATATTTTCACAGGCTCCGGGGAAGCACAGCTGTGTATTGGGGGGTGGGGTGCCTGGGAGGACGGGGTGGGAAGCCGGGCCCTATTAGGAGTCTCTCTCTCTCTCTCTCTCTCTCTCTCTCTCTCTCTCTCGTCAGAATGTGCTCTCTCCATCCCACAGTCCTGCTCCTCATATCTGTGGCCTCCATATATGGGGATTCAGTGATAATGCAGACAGGACAGGGCGCTGACCTCTCTTTGCACTGGCCCTTCTATGGCCTCTGGGTCCGCATCGTTGTGGCCATTGTGACCGGTGAGCGGAGGCGGGTCGCAATCATGACCACAAGCAACAGGCGATGGGAGCCCCCTTTCCCTGCAGCCTGCTCGCTAGCCCCCTGCCATCTCCTGAATCTATTCTAGCCCCACAGACCCTCCAGCCCACTTGCTGAGATCCTTCCCAGCCCTGCAGCCTGGCTCTGTCCGTTCCGAAAGCTCCTCTCTCTCTCCTCCCTCCTTCCCCGCAGGACTCGCCTCTCTCTTCAGCTACCGGGGTATCTGCTGGTTCCCGCTTTCGGGTTGGCCAGTCACCAGGCAGGCAGACCGCCCGGTGCAGGAGTACGTCTCCTCCGACCGTCCCTACACCAGCCGGACAAACCCCGGAGGCCGCCCGACCTGGCTCCCAGCACGCCCTCTGCAAACCAGCGGCTCTCCACCCGCCAGCGGCCCGAGAAAGTCTCGGGCAGGAGCAACGGGAGCTACGGGAGCAAAGGGAGCAAAGGGAAACAACTCCCGGAGGTCCCCTTCGGTTCTAACCTGGACGCCCCTTGTGGCCCCGCCTCCAGGTCAGGCCCCGCCCCCAGGACAGGCCCCGCCTCCAGGTCAGGCCCCGCCCCCCGCCCCGCCGCGCCCTGGCCCGGTCCGCGGTGCACCCAGACCTACTTGGCGACACTGGTTTCCAGCTCCCGGCCTTGGCACGTCTTCTGGCCGAGCTGGGTCTGCAGGTTCTCAGCGCTCGCCTCCCACGCGAGGCAGGACCTGGGGTGGCCGCCCACACCGAGAAATCCTTCAGACGTCGAGGCGCAGGTCCTGCGCCTGCCGTCCACTGCGGCCAGCGCGCCCCACTCGCCCGCCCGCGATCTCTCGAAGTGGCCCCGAACTCCCCGAGGTCCAGGGCCCGGCGTGCCCGCTGGCCTGATCCCACCTTCCCCAGCCTTCGGATTTTGCCTTTGTAGGGGGGGTCGTGAGTGGGCAACGGCACGGAGCAGCCAGCTCCCGTTGTCTTGCTTATTAAATTAAA